TACCTCGTTCACCCACATCTACCCTAAGTTAGCTATGTTCTACCACGTTCACCCACATCTACCATAAGTTAGCCATGTTCTACCACGTTAACCCACATCTGCCCTAAGTTAACCATGTTCTACCACGTTCACCCACATCTACCCTAAGTTAACCATGTTCTACCTCGTTCACACACATCTACCCTAAGTTAACCATGTTGTACCACGTTCACCAACATCTACCCTAAGTTAATCATGTTGTACCTCGTTAACCCACATCGTTAACCCACATCTACCCTAAGTTAACCATGTTGTACCTCGCTCACCCACATCTACCCTAAGTTAGCCTTGTTCTACCACGTTAACCCACATCTACCATAAGTTAGCCATGTTGTACCACGTTAACCCACATCTACCCTAAGTTAACCATGTTGTACCTCGTTCACCCACATCTACCCTAAGTTAGCCATGTTCTACCACGTTAACCCACATCTACCCTAAGTTAGCCACGTTGTACCACGTTCACCCACATCTATCCTAAGTTAGCCATGTTGTACCTCGTTCACCCGCATCTATCCTAAGTTAACCATGTTGTACCTCGTTCACCCACATCTACCCTAAGTTAACCATGTTGTACCTCGTTCACCCACATCTACCCTAAGTTAACCATGTTGTACCACGTTCACACACATCTACCCTAAGTTAGCCATGTTGTACCTCAAGCACCTGTTCTACCACGTTGACCAACATCTACTCTAAGTTAGCCATGTTCTACCACGTTCACCCACATCTACCCTAAGTTAACCATGTTGTACCTCGTTCACCCACATCTACCCTAAGTTAGCTATGTTCTACCACGTTCACCCACATCTACCATAAGTTAGCCATGTTCTACCACGTTAACCCACATCTGCCCTAAGTTAACCATGTTCTACCACGTTCACCCACATCTACCCTAAGTTAACCATGTTCTACCTCGTTCACACACATCTACCCTAAGTTAACCATGTTGTACCACGTTCACCAACATCTACCCTAAGTTAATCATGTTGTACCTCGTTCACCCACATCTACCCTAAGTTAACCATGTTGTACCACGTTCACCAACATCTACCCTAAGTTAATCATGTTGTACCTCGTTCACCCACATCTACCCTAAGTTAACCATGTTGTACCACGTTCACCAACATCTACCCTAAGTTAATCATGTTGTACCTCGTTCACCCACATCTACCCTAAGTTATCCTTGTTCTACCACGTTAACCCACATCTACCATAAGTTAGCCATGTTGTACCACGTTAACCCACATCTACCATAAGTTAACCATGTTGTACCTCGTTCACCCAGTTAGCTATGTTCTACCACGTTCACCCACATCTACCATAAGTTAGCCATTTTCTACCACGTTAACTCACATCTACCCTAAGTTAACCATGTTGTACCTCGTTCACCCACATCTACCCTAAGTTAGCCTTGTTCTACCACGTTAACCCACATCTACCATAAGTTAGCCATGTTGTACCACGTTAACCCACATCTACCATAAGTTAACCATGTTCTACCACGTTAACTCACATCTACTCTTAGTTAGCCATGTTCTACCACGTTGACCCACATCTACCATAAGTTAACCATGTTCTACCACGTTGACCCACATCTACCATAAGTCAACCATGTTCTACCACGTTGACCCACATCTACCATAAGTTAACCATATTCTACAACATTGACCCGCATCTACCCTAAGTTAACCATGTTCTACTATGTTAACCCACATCTACCCAAAATTAACCATGTTTTACCACGTTAACCCACATCAGCCCTAAGTTAACCATGTTCTACCATGTTAACCCACATCTACGCTAAGTTAACCATGTTCTACCACGTTGACCAACATCTACTCTAAGTTAGCCATGTTCTACCACGTTAACCCACATCTACCCCAAGTTAACCATGTTCTACCACGTTAACTCACATCTACTCTAAGTTAGACATGTTCTACCACGTTAACCCACATCTACCCTAAGTTAAGCATGTTTTACCACGTTTACCCACATCTACCCTTAGTTAGCCATGTTCTACCACGTTAACCCACATCTACCATAAGTTAGCCATGTTCTACCTCGTTATCTACTATGAGTTAGCCACGTTCTACTATGTTGACCCACATCTACCCTACGTTAACCATGTTCTACCACGTTAACCCACATCTACCCTAAGTTAGCCATGTTTAACCACCTTTACCCTCATCTGCCCCATTTTAACTTCGCGCTATCTTGTGAACCGGCATATACGTCAAGTTAACTCGGTTATACTCCGTTTAGGCCCACCTACCCAGAGTGAATCTCGTTTTAGTTTGTTCACCCACACATACTCTGAGTTAGGCACGTTCTTGCACTTTCACCCTCATGACAACTGATTAGGGTTTCGATATTGATATATTACGATAGGATTAATGGCTTCTTTTTCATAAAGGCAAAGAGGTTTTTTGATACTGCAGACCGTAGAAAGTTTTGTTTAAGAAATAGGGTGTTACGGGTTTGACAGCCTTCTCTCAAGTGGCTATAAAACAGTCAAGCTATACATTTAACTATCATCAACAAGAGTCTATTATCTCCTGCTAATTATCATTGTAATGACATCGATATGGCAACCTTTGTTACAGTATACTTGACTTTGAAGTCCATAACAAAACTATATCTACATATGTAGACATCGCAACGGAAAATAAATAGAACTGTGCACTAATCAGGTTGGTCTGAAGTACGACTTGTTAATCACGAGTATTAGTCAAAACTATGACGAATTTGAGAAAGAGACTAGACATCACTAATGCATTTTTGTACAAAAAGGAAACAACAGTTAACTCGACAGTTGACGCTCGCCTGTGTAAGTGTACAATGCGTGTCATGTGTGCGCGCTGTTGTGTTATATTTACACGACAACAGCACGCGCACATGACGCGCATTGTATACTTACACAGGCAAGTATCAGCTGTCGTCTTATACCGTCAAATTACAAGCATGACGGGTACGTTGTCCTATCGGTGCTTGATTATGTTCCAGAATTTTGTTAAAGTTATGAGTAGTAATGGTAATAGGACTGAGTGCAGTCCAATTCGGTCGGTAATTATACGAGTGATAACAAATGATAAATGGGGATTTTTTAAAACAATCACAATCAAGGTAATTGTAATGATTAAATATATAATACTTTCATCAAATCATTACTTGTAGTTGATGGGCATCCAGTGTACGAGAAAGAACTCTTTTTTCCCGCTGGTATTTTTTATTGACATTTATTCTCTGACAATATTGACATTTTTTGCACAATAAAAGCGTAATATGTGCCGGAATTCAAATACAATCCATAGACGTAAAAAAAACGCCGTTATTTTTATACTTTACATACGGTTAATTGCGTCAACCCCATAAGCCAGATTACGCGCTGCCATGCATTTATTTTTTTCAAAGTTCAACTTTCCCTCCACTTGCTTTTTCGTCTTTTCATTAACATGTAATTGGAGCTGCCGAGCAAAGCGCGAGTTGACAACATAATTATATAAATGTGTTAAATTTTCCTTAGTAGGAAGAAAACAAGTACAATGCAGGAAAGATTCTACAGCGTCCAAAAGGCATGTTTCTATGTTTGTCCAGGAACTCAGGCTAATGAGAGAGGAGTAACGTGCGCGCTTCGTTCTAATGGCTATATATAGTATACCACAAATTCTCGCTTTTTGAAGCATGAACACTCAGATATGTCTCATCTATCATTAGAAAATAATTCAAATAGTACGCGCGCTCTGATTGGCCATAAAACCATTTTACATGAGCGTATGTAAACACGGTTTTCGTTCCTCTTTCATTAGTTATTTTATTAAAGAAATGTAAAATGGTTATAATCGATAAACTGGAAACCACTCCGCTTCGCGTCGTGGTTTCCTTCGCTTATCTCGTGTTCTCCCAACCTCCCGCGTGTTTACATCAGGCTATGTAAACACGGAAACCATTTTACATTTCTTTAATGTAAACTTCAAACTGGGAAATTTCAGCACTGTTTATTACTATGTACATGTGCTTTCTCGTAGGGTATTATCTAGATGGATGAGAATACCCTTTGAAACACTAGACCCTCTGTACAGGTCGAAAACGTACAGAGACAGGTACCAAATGTTAGAAAATGCCATGGGGGAGGCAAGTGCCAGTGTGGCAGTCGTCACTGCATTAATGAGGCAGAAGTTGTCGGCTGCCACAGATGGCGAGATTGACAATTACACGGACCGTCTGGTCGAAATGGCTGATTTTCAAGAGCTTGTGATAGATCAGAGGGCCTTGGTCTCCTACTCTCTCCTCGTTTTCGTATGCAAAATGGTGAGTATACGAACATAAACTGGGGAACAAAGAAAGTTGGCTGCACTGGGATGGAAGCCATCGGTTCTATATTACGACACATCAGTTCTGATGTTTAGTGATTAGATTAATCCATTTGAAACAGAGCGAAAGTGATAGGTGCATGGATGGGAAGTTAAACCTTCAAGCTGAGCAAATAAAAATAACTGAAAACTAATAAATCAAAACAAAATCTTGCATTAATCCCGTTTAAATCGTGACTGTAAGTTAATTATGTGTCACGTTAGATGTTGTCTATTATATTTAATGCAGATTCTTGAGAAGGTTGGCCTACAAGAACTGTTCATCCTCGTAGAGGAGAAAATTGAAAGGTTGTCCTTCCAAGTTATGTGGAGGCCTCACGTGTCACTGAAACGTCTGTTCGGTTGCCGAAGGAAGTTAGTAGTGACACGGACAAAGCGTTGAAGAATTTCTTCGCGTCAATTACAACTTTCGACGTTCAGAACGTAAGTACTGATAATAGTTTCATGATCAGTTGTTACTTGTCCCAATACATTATTCATATAAATATATATATCTATATAGTGTGTGCATTTTATTTATTTATTTTTTTGGATGTTGTAAAATTTGGCCGGCCATAATTATTATTTTGACTTCCTTGTCAGGTTGCTCCCTTTGTCAATAATAGGATAAAGCCCACTCGATGCGGCTGTGGGGAAGCAGTAGCTTTTAATGTGCCTTGCTTAGCTCGGCACATTAAGGTTACTGGCATCGACCCGGTAATTACCGATGCCAACATACGGCATTTTATAACGTCGAAAGCGATTGGTTGCGTAGGCAAGTCGAACAAGTTTTGGAGCCGAACAACAAGCTCGACATCTGCCCACATAAGTAGGCCGGCGTTACCTTGATGCTGAAATTTTGGGTGGACTTGATAAAGGTAAAATTATACGATGCAAAAAACTGATATGCTCTTTTAACAGTAGTTTTAATTTTACTTTGCCCATACCATTTTGTGCAAATGAGTGGGCATAAGTGGGAGAACCTAGAGTCCAAAAGAGTCTTGCATTCTTACAAAGTACAAACATATACTACACACGTTTTCAAAAACGTCGTAATTTGAAAATATATAGATATACCTCTCCTGTTCTCAGTTAAAATGTGATAGACGATGCATGTATATTTCCAATCAAAGGAACAATACTTGAGGAACTAAAAGTGAACTGCCCTTATGGGCAATTGTTGTTTTTTCTACCAATTTATATCGGTTGTCAGCGTCTTTCGGAGGAGACTATAGCCTGTTTGAAGAGAATTGTGTTGCTTTGAAGGCCTCTTTGATGTTTTTAAAATCTTTATGTAAAACAACCTTGACTGAACTATGACTGTCTATACACCACAACAAGTACAAAAGTACACAAGGCTTCTGTGATAATTCTGTTTTGCAAATGATTATTGCTTTATTTTCTTGTTTTCAGCTTTTTCATCACTGACTGCCAGTACATCATCTAGTACGTACTAATGAATTGAATTAATTGATTTAAGTACAAGTGCTTTACCATGAAAACAACCAAACCAAACATGTTATCAGTGAAAGTCAACCATACAAATTTCACATCCAGTTCGATTTTTTTGTGTCTTCTAGATAATGATTTATTTGGAGTAAGAAACTATCAAAAAGGAAGCATTTAACAAAACAATCTGATAAAATATTACTCAGAGATTAAAAATTCATTAAATGAGCCAAAATACTTATTGAAGCTCCGTTTTCTAGATGATTCCCCAAGAGGAAGAGATATAGGCGAGACAAGCTCATCTAGCGATGTTCAAGGCAAGTAACAATTTTTCCAGCATCCCGTATATTTCATGGCTTTTTTACGTTGCTTCTATGACATCTTTTACTCGCAGGATGAAGTTTTGACCTCATTTTATGCAAGCGTTTTACAATTTTCTTAAAACTATGATGAATGTTGTCAAGCATGCTCGCCTGCATCGTCTATATGTGACAAAATCTTATATGCCCTTCCCCACCTTGAGACTTAAGAGAAAAACCAACGAGCAATCTGGCTATCAAGCAATCAGAGATTGAAATAATGCGATAAAGCTCAGAATGTAATTTTTCAGTGCCACTTATTAGCCGTGTTACCTTTTCCTTCAGGTGATGTACCAACAGATGCTGAGCAAGGTAATCTTAAGGATGTTGATGAACTTGATCTCCCCCGCCCTTTAGTAGTTCAAGAACTCGTCAATTAAAATTTACCAGATTAAACATAAATAAAGAAACAACAAGAAAGCTGTTCACACGGTTGAAAAGCAAGGTTATCTCCATTATACTTGTGAAGAGTTTCTGTCGGCACCTCGATTTCTAGATTGTTTACTTTGAACTGTTCTTTTTGGCTGTTACAAATCTCTTGAACTTTTTCAGACGCAATAATCGTGAGTGATGCTGAAGAGAAACAAGAGGTATTTTTTGTTATCTTACAACCATAAAATATGTTTACTTTTCTCTCCTTTCTTCTCTTATACTTGATTCATTTCCTGCAAAAAACGTGCATCTTGATTATGTTGGAAAAAAGGGTAGGAAACCATTTTTGTTATAGATTTGTTCTGAGGACTTATCAACGTGGATTTATCATCGCTGTTCTCAATGCCCAAACCTACATGAACGATGCGCAGTGTTATTTCCTTGGCAGTATGCTAGCATCATGTTACGTTTTTGCAACTTAATAATGATATAAATTTATCGACTGTTGATAGGGAGTGGAGAACCCGACGTCTTCAAAAGTTACAGGTAAAAATCCGCATATTTCACACGGAACCATGGAGGATGGAAACCTCCTGTTTTAATGTAATAATATTAGTCTGCCATTAGAGTGTGCCCAAAAGTTTCGAAAAGACATAAATGACTAGATTCCATTTTTCAGTGCGTATATACTCTAGTTACGCATAGAGGGCGTCCAAACGTAGATCGTTTGCTGGAAGTTTAACCTGTGCATGTCAATTACCAGTCGGTTTTGCATTTTAATCACTGCCTAGTGATTCTGTTGTTTGAGCAGCTGGAAATAGATTCTTCTTTATACGATCATAAAATATATGTTTCTTCTTTTCTTACAGAAACAAGGACTGGTGGAAGACAAGTCTCAAAGAGGAAAGAGCGAAAAGGTATGAAAAAAACCCTTTTAGTTTTCTCACAATTTTTTCGGTTGTCGCTTTAAAATTTAGAATTAAAAACGCCGGTTCATGTGTAATTGGCAAAACGGTAAAACTTTGGTCACAGAGGTGAAGAGATGGATGTATTTGAAAGCGTGACTGTGGTTGATTGACGAAAAAACGTTTGAGATAAAAATTGCTCCTTTTCTGATAGGTGGAAAAAAGTCCTAGAACCTGTGTGGCATTTTCGTTGGACCTCTTATCTTTCAGTTCTCAGAATGTTTGTGTCATTATAGTTTGCCACGTACAGTTCGAATGGTCGTAGGTGTAGGTTGTTTCAAAGGGCCTTGAATGCTTGGTAGTTCATACTTAAATTTATTTTCTCCGAGACTATAAGTGTGTAACAAAGATTAAACAAGTCCGGTATAATCTATGTTGTGAAATGTTATATTTTCCACTTCTGTCACAAACCTGTCTGTATCAGAAAAGGCGAAGGACAAGTTAAAAGATGCGCTTACTCCAGTTGAGGAGCTTCCCGCGAAAAGAGTCCGCAGAAAGACCGCTATAAGGTACTTACCGAGCTAAAATACAGATGTAAATTAATACAAAATTATTCATTCTTTGTGAGCGTGCTGATTATTGAATCCCTTCTTGCAATGATTTACACTGATCAGTGAATTTCATTGGTCTTTAGTTGCTTATGGATAGATCCCAAGGGTTGAAATTTTAATTATAGGAGATTAATGGTGATTACCTCAATAGTACAGAGGCCTTCGTATCTTGGGTAACCTTGAATCGTAAATCATTAATCTTGCGTCTTGAATCTTACAGTCTAAATGTTGGTCATAGACATATCGGGTGTAAAGTTCTTGAGCCAATATACTACATATCAAGGGGGGTGTTCTTGATAGTTCCCCAAAAGGAGATTCAGAAACAAGAATCTATTTCGATTGTCCTCACTCATCGCTGCACTATTTATTGATAGGGACTGAAGATACTGAAAAAGAGTGGAGGGAGAATTACTGGAGAAAGAAAAAGTGAAAATGCTGCATGACTCAAAGGATTAAGCAGCATTTCTAATCCATGAATCTTTGCACCCGTTGGAAACGACCAGCACCGTACCTTGTTACGTCAACTCAACGACGCATTCCGGCACCCCTTAAGAAATGAAGCTTAGTTCGTCACGAGATGTCAAAACTTGTAAAAACAAAGATTTGAGGAAAAGGGAAAACGATTTTCGAGTGTGTGCAAATATTTATAGAGTAGAGACATATGTTGGGCTTGCTTTCACTTTTTAAACAACATTTTGGTGCATGAAAAGATAAAACAATTAAATTTCAAAAAAATTAATGAATGCTTGCCATAATCAGTAATCTATAAAAGCTCCAAATATTATTGTGGAGTTTGAACTACTTTTCAGTTCGCGAACAGATACAATATCCAATTTAGTGTTGATCTTTATTTGCAGATGAATTGGTCTATCTCTACAAACCAAAAAAAAAAATAGGTGTGAACACCAATAAGAAACTTTTTATTTAAATTTCCCGAACGAAAAAGTAGAATTATTCACCTCTGCTCCAAACCGACTGGAGGTAGATCAGAAAAGTTGTTTGCCAGAGATAGGAGTATCGGTTGTGAGAGAACCGATGGGTTCTTAGAAATGACGAATTTCAACGTCTAAATAAGTGTTGGTGTAGTTAAATCGAAATATATCTTAGAGTGCTTGACATTTGTCAGAAACGACTGGCCAAACCGGTGGATTTACTAGAGAATACGCCTCTAAATCTTTTTTTTTTTTAGAGTGTTTACCCATATTTACCATAATATACGGTACCGCCCGGAAAATGATCGATCTGATATACAGCTCTGATTAGTGACGAAATTTCCTTTATACAGATATAAAAACAAAACAAAAACAAAACAAAAACAAAACAAAAGACAAAGAAAAGAAAAAAAAGGTTCTGGCCGGCCAGTTCCGCATTATAGTAGTCACCCTTAGTTACATAGTTTTTGGTATGAGCTCCCACTTTTAGTTGACCAATTTTGTGAGAGATGATCAATCCAAACCTTCTTTCAGGTAGAACATGGTAAACTTATGGTAGATGTGGGTCAATGTGGTAGAATATGGTTAACTTATGGTAGATGTGGGTTAACGAGGTAGAACATGGCTAACTTAAGGTAGATGTGGGTTAACGTGGTAGAACATGGCTAACTTAGGGTAGATGTGGGTTAACGTGGTAGAACATGGCTAACTTAGGGTAGATGTGGGTTAACGTGGTAGAAAATGGTTAACTTCGGGTAGATGTGGGTTAACGTGGTAGAACATGGCTAACCTAGGGTAGATGTGGGTTAACGTGGTAGAACATGGTTAGCGTAGGGTAGATGTGGGTTAACGTGGTAGAACATGGTTAACTTATGGTGGATGCTGGTCAACGTGGTAGAACATGGTTAACTTAGGGTACACGTGGGTTAACGTGGTAGAACATGGTTAACTTAGGGTACATGTGGGTTAACGTGGTAGAACATGGTTAACTTAGGGTACATGTGGGTTAACGAGGTAGAATATGGCTAATTTAGGGTAGGTGTGGCTTAAAGTGGTAGCACATAGTTAACTTAGGGCAGATGTGGGTTAACGTGGTAGAACATGCCTAACTAGGACATATTGTAAGTCTTACATGAAGCTTAAAGCATATATATATATATATATATATATATATATATATATATATATATTGTCAGCCATTTTGTCGTCTATATGGCATTCAGCCATGGCATATTTACCGGAATATGGGCTGATAACTGTGGGTGAATTAATCAATCAATACGCCAGAAATGTAATATTCGGAGTGGAAAATTTAATAACCATCTTTGTTTTGATTGGCCGATGATATTATTGTGGTTTTGTTTGATGACTCCTGGTCGAAAAACCCCCTTCATAAATTTTCAATTTCCGAAATAAACCTGATTTTTCTTTCTTTTAGCCAGCAGTAATCTTGCCTTAGAAATCTAATATTTACCAAATTTGTCATTTGCCCTGGAATTTGCTGAATAACTGTGTTTATTGAAGTAATCGTGAATCATTGCTGAAACAGCCAACAACATATTTAACTGTTCTAAGTTAAGCTTATTACGATAGCGCGCGATCTGGAAACTTGATATTGTCACACAACTCTCTGATGTACAGTCACGTATTTGTAACTTTTGCCTCACTAAAAATTTCAGGTTCTTAGAGCATTTCAATAACTTCGTGTTTTTCAAAATTCGTAAACGGTACCGAAAGATGTTTCCTGGATTTACTTGTCTATGTTTCGCACAGACTTCTGAGCACGTGGACACGTTTCTTCAAACTCATACCACATTAAAAGGTGTTTCGCGGCTTAACCGCTGACTGCTTGTGGTTTCTGAAATGCACAGTTTACCGGAGTGTCGTGCAGTGTCGTGTTTGTCCTCTGCGCTCCTTGAAGTTTTTAGTTGTAAACGAAGTGGACATGACAGAAGGGTTTAACTTCAGCCTCTGACTCTTAACTCAATATGTTGGCCGAATTAGAACAGTTGGATGAGTCAAGGGCATGGCCACGATTATTTCAAGTAAGTTAAGTTCAGTTGTTTCAGTTGCTCATTATTAAGCTAATATAACTTTTAGCCTCATGTTCTTTTTTCCAGCTGTAAGCCAGTTTAATTGTCAGAAGTCTAATTATGTTAGAATATGGCTTGTCGGGGAATATTTTTATTTTAAATTAATTTTAATGATGCACTGGTTTGTTTTAAACTAATTTAATTTCATGCTGTATTGATAGAAACTCAACTGGGAAGCGAGCCAGAGAGCTGGAGCACTAACAGTTGCAAGACTTCCTGAAAACAGACAACTTAATCGGTACAGAGATGTTTTACCATGTAAGTGATTGCTCAGATAGATTATTAACTACTTTTCATTGAAGGACAATGAAGAAAGGCTGTAAATATGTTACTATTTTGGCTCCAGATTGCGAAATAAAAAACTCTGAAGAAGTTGCCCGATCTGGTGTGTTACCAGTTAAGCCGTGACTTGAGTACATCTAGGACAGTTTCCAGTTGCTACATCTGTTACTAGACAGTGGAATAATCATGTCTTAGTTGCAAGACTTTTAACTTATTAATTAAATGTGATATTTTACTTGATTGCTTTTCAACTTGGTGTTGTAAACCAAAATTGAAACTTATTACTGACAACAACAAAATGAAAATGAATGCTTACACTAAGGTAGTCTGGGTGATAACAATGGGAAAATTCCTCACATCAGAAAAAATTTTAACCATGTGTATCTTGTACCAGGTTTCAGAAAGAGTAAAGCTGATCATCCTTCCATTAGCCTGGTATAAATTGGGCTATTAGGCAATTACTGGATGAGGTTGAGTGTGATATCATGAATTATCATTGCCAAAGTTTGAGTTATCTATCTTGAGATAACACTGACATGAGGTTTGATAATTCATGATATCATGTGAAAACCAAATTGAATAATTGATTTATCATACATTTTTTAAACAATCTGCAAAAGAAGAAACTTCTGAGTTTGCCAAAGTTTGAGAACGCAACCCCAACAAAGGGCTTGGAGGCTAGATAGACTTGAACTCAACATGATAACCTAATATCTACGTAGACATTGATGTTTGTTTTATAACTTGCAGAGCTGTTTTAGATTATTTTTGAGTTTGGAGTAATGACCACAATGTACAGTAGAAGTCTTGATGAGACTGTGAAGTCTTTTTTTCCCTTCTTGCCATAAAACTTTGTATGAACCTTCACTTTTAACTGTGCAGATGACTCAATTTTGAGATGATTGACCAACAAGCACTTACCTTGTTGTGATAGGGCTTTCAACAGTAATGTATTTACTGGTTGCTTTCAGATGACCACAGTCGAATCATTTTAAAGCAAGGATCCTCAGACTATATCAATGCTAACCTTGTTGAGGTATTTGTTACTATTCAGAATGATGATAAAATTTGGATTTTTTTTGTTCACTTACCACAAGTTGAAGCATCTTGGATTTTATGAACATTTTTAATTAGAACTTGCATATTATTATTTTAAGTAAGGCCTGATAATTTTGCAGTTATTTTGCTGAAGGGAGGGTCTCTCTACAGGGTTATTGTTTGGGAATAACATTTGTAAGTTGTAAAGGACTTGAAGTTTGCACTAGATTTAAATGTGCAAAACTGATTAGGCAATTAAACAACACTTTTTTGTTTTACTGGCTAATAAACCATGCAGGAAGTTGGAAGAGTACGAGGAAAGGTTATAAACTATGAAGTGTAGCACTGATTCAAACACTGTCCAGCTATTTAATGTTTACTTACTTTACAGGAAAATATTTAAAAATAAAGCAAAAAACCACCCTATGAAAGCTGAAATCTTGAACAGCAACTGGAATTGCCTTAAATCTTGCGTGCACATTCACTTTGCAAGTGAATAAATGCTTAAAATGGAGCAAGCAACCAATTAGTTAAACTGAATTTTAAACAGAAATTTTGATCATATTAGAAAAATGAAATCTTTGTTGTTGTTTTCAGAGTCAGTGTCCTCTTCATTTCCCTCAAACCAAAGGCCTTTCACAAATTAAAACCTAGGAATTTGCCTTGTGTGGTGCCATTTCATAGGTCAGGGAGATGCTTTTGTTTTGTTTGGGTATACAGTCAGGCAAATAAACAATAGATGTGTGACCAGTTAGAGTGCATGTTGTTTCTAAGTTATGTCATAATGAAGAATGATTCAATTTGTCTCAACAGATTTCAAGATTGAACAAAAAGTATATTTTGACCCAGGTTTGTTGTATTGAATATGACCAAAAAAAACAAGTGTTATGCAATTATGCTATCTCTAAAAATGGTACATACATTGATTCCTGGCAGGGGCAATGTGGGAAATTCATTTCCTGTACTCTGCAGATTTTATTCAGTATTAGCTCATGCAAGGAGTTCATGGGTAATTCTAAAATTGATTTTTTTCAAATTTCAGGGACCATTACCTCATACTGCAAATCACTTCTGGCAGATGATATGGGAGCAAAACACAGCTGCTATAATCATGTTGAACAAAGTAGTGGAAAAAAATCAGGCAAGTACAAATCTTATCATAGACTTTTATATTTAATTTCAGGTGTCTCAAACTTCCAGTTATTTGGGACAAAACCTGTGTCTTTGGGTGTAGACTTTATGTTAACATGTTGCTGCCAGGTTTAACCTTAGGTAACTTGAACATTGGGAACCTTATACCATTCTAACTGGTCTTTGGAAAGTTCAAGAATTAACAGGGCTCCACCATTCTTTATAATCTATGTAAACTGGAGAATTTGAATTCACTATGAAGAGTTTTTACAGAAAATATATACAATTATATGTAACAATGAAAGTAAAACACAGTGGTCATGAGGGTGCTCTGTGTTTGATGCAATTATTGATCATGTCACTGGAATGTTTTCATGTCACAATACTACTTTAATAATTCCACAAGGTTACATGGAAAAAGGCCACAGAAAATACAGCATTCCATTGGGAGTAAAAAAATTTTCTTACACATGTTTGTTACATTGCAGATCAAGTGTTACCAGTACTGGCCATGTGGAGAGGCCTATGCCCATTCTAATCAGCTTGAGTTTGGTAACTTCAAAATCAACTACCTTCGGGAGTTGCACAATGAATACTTCACCATAAGATCACTGGAACTAGAAAATATTTTGGTCAGTAGTTGGAGTTACTTACATTGTTTCCTTTTTTGACTACTTTTGATCAAACAGGCATGAGTTAAGACAGGTTGTCATTATTATCTTTTTAGACAGGAGAGAAACGTCCAATAGAGCATTTTCACTATCTGACATGGCCAGACTTTGGAGTGCCTACCTCACCTGCTACTTTCCTGGCTTTCCTGTTTGAAGTGCGCAGGGCGGGAGTGATGTCTAATGATGTAGGACCCTGTGTAATTCATTGTAGGCATGTTATTTAACCTTTTTTTTTCATACAATTAGTGGTAGCATTTTCTTCTAAATAGCATAGGAATGGATTTTAATCAAGAAACTACAGCTGACAGAAACCTCTATACAGGGAAGTGACTCTGGCAGACTCCTTTGAAAATGTTATTTAATATATTTTATGTATTTGAAGTTTAAAATATTTAGGCTTTAAATATCCTGAAGAGGTTTTTGTGCTTACTTTTGAAGTGCTGGAATAGGAAGGTCCGGAACATTTGTCATGGTGGATTCAGTTCTGACAGAAGTGAGTAGGGATCAAATTATACATACTATAGGTTTCTATCATTGATGTTGTCAGGGTAAGAAATCATCCTGAAAAATGAATACCAGACAAAGCACCTCTTAAATGTTGGTGACACTTTAAAAAATACTGGAACTCTCTTTAGTTTTGGATTCCTGTCATCTTAAGACAACTATGGCTTGGATATTGTCATTTTGTAAATATGCACAACAAACATTTTTTCCTTCCATGTTTCTAAAAAGTCTTAACATTGTTATCACATGGTCCAAATTATTAATTTAAAGACTCGTGTTACAATTATAATGTATAAAGTTTTTTTTTATAAAATATTTATAATGAATGTGTGGTTTGGTTAGGCATGTATGCTCTGATAAAGCTGAATTTCCCTTTTTGCAAAGAAAAACCGCTTTTTGGTGCTCTTTTAACCATGTACCAAACTGACGTTTGGTCTGTCCGATGTATTCATTGTCACAGTCATTGCAAGGAATAGAATAAATGGTGTCGGTTCGTTGTTCTTTCATGACAGGATCCTTAGGTTTGGCGAAAATATGCTTTATCGGAGCATACATGCCTAACCAACCACACGATTGGGTGGGATAATTCTAAAATTATCACCACTAATCAGCGTTACCACCAGTGCCTTTGTTTGGAGGCTTGGCATATCAACTCTGCCCACGCCCCTTTAAATCGTGATGATGGCAGTTTGCTTCCTGACGCCTATTTACACCTCGTCAGAAAAAAAGGCCGCTAATTAGTGATCATATAAAAGGACCGCTTGTTGTAGCGTTTAGATCACCCCTGATGAAGGCACTAGGCAGGAGTGTTGAAACGTTGGGTCTACGAATTGTAACTTCTTCAGTTACATTCATTAAATCTGCAAACCAGAGTAGCATCAAACTATGTCTAAGTTTTTGTTTCTTTACTGTTTGAGCAGTCCATTTCTTATGTTGGAAGATTCCTGTTATATTTTTTTTATCAGATTGAGCATGAGGAAGACATGAATCAGATTGATATCCAAGCCATGTTACTAGAAATAAGGCAATATAGAGTGGGTCTCATTCAAACACCAGATCAACTGCGCTTCACATACCTGGCCATTTTAGAAGGTGTACGTGTTCTAATGCCTGAAATATATCACAGAGCTGTAAAGCATCAGATACAACCAAATACTGGTGAGTTAACTCAGTCTGGCTGTGCACACAGTGAATTATAGTGTGTAACAACATTTCAGGCTTGTACTCCAGAGGGTTAGAGGCTTCAAATCTATGGAGTATTTATCTGTGAAATTAAAGTATTTCAAAAGAAGCAGAATGGGTCTCAGAGATGAAATGTTGACTGGTGATGATTTGCTTTTCAAAAGTCTCCCATGCAAAAGGTCTTAAAGGCATTAAGTGCATGGAAAAAGCTAGGTCTTACATTTGCTTATACATGTATGCAAAATTATCCTCAATTTGCTAAGTTGAACTTCTCACATACTGGAAGATAAAAATGCTGTTTCAAAAAAGAATGAAAGGTGACTTGTATCATTTTTATCTACTGTGCAAACATTACACTTAGCATGACAAAAAATTGCTGACAGGCCTTTTTGAGCCAAGCATTTATATTCTGAGTTCTAAAGATGATCTGGAAACATTGGAAATGCTTCAAGTAGACAAACCATGTTATTTGTACCATTAATTTTTCATTAAAGAGTATGGTGTCATCTCAGAGTCATAAGCACCATAAGGGCCATAAGCAGCACATCCAGCTTGAAAAGAATTCAGGCTAAATGACAAAAAATGGAATAATCCGTTGAACAACTGTCATGCAAGAGGTCATGTACATGGTACATTCTTGGCCAGGCATGACCTCTTGTGCAGGTACATTCTTGGCCAGGCATGACCTCTTGTGCAATAGCTGTTCAACCGATAACACTGCTGTGTTAAGTCATTTTAGCCAAAATTCCTTTCAGGCTGGATGTGCTGCTTATGGCAGGCCAAGAAAGAAAATTTGAGGTATTAAACTGCAAGGATAAAGCTTAAAGATGATTTATATTATGATTTGCAAATATGTATACCAGACCTTTTTGTAGGCCTTTAAATAGGCCATAGCAGCTGTTCAGGAGTTGGCATTGCATTTTTGTCATAATAGCCCAAAGTCTTTTCAACCTGGAAATGCCACTTATGACAGGCCAAGATAGAGAATTGGAAGAATCAAACTACATAAAGCTGTAATATGATGTAAATAATGATTTGTAAATAAATATGTTATACCTTCTTATAGGCTATTGAAGTTGACCTCTATTTTACCACTGTGAAATAGACACAAAGTACATTATTTCTATGGCTCATTATGCAGACTTATATGCAACAACATAACAAATCCACATTTTCGACAAGATAAAGGAATCATCTGCTAGCACACAAAATTTAAAGGCAGGATTACATTGTGTTGTGGCATACGAAGTGACAATGACCATTTGAACTTTTCGGTTTTTCAGAGAAAGCAAAGTAAAATAGAACTTTTTGATGTAATTTTTGAAAAAGGTTCATCAAAAGGTTCCTTTAGGAAAAATAAAATTAATTATGAAATTTTGCAACTGTCATCGAATTCTTGATATTTTTGGTCAGTGGCTCTTAATTTATGTTCCCATTCAAGTTTGACTGTTTACCCATCCACCAATGAAATGTTACCTGCATTTTTGACTACTGGTTCATTAAGCCAAAATTTAAAATTTCAAAAATGTTTCTGCAAAATGTTTTATGGCAGTCTCCTTTATTTCTCTGAAAGGTGATGACCAGGATGATGAAGTAGTTACAAGTAAAAGAGATGATACAAGCCATCAGGAGGGGGAGAAAGAGGAGACACCACCTCCACTACCACCACGACGAAGGCATGCTGAGACTACTGATGAACCAGAGAATAAGAAGAGTCGTATAGGTGAACCTGGTATGTTACTAACAGTACATCCTAATGAAATAATATTAAGATAAGGAGTAAGAGGTTATAGGGAATGTATTCTATAATCAGTGGATAGATTACTACTAGAAAGGTCTGCACTGAAACATGAATCAGGGGAGCAAATGAGAGGAATACATTTGGAATAATGTTCAGTGACTAAGAGAATGCATCCTCTAATCTGTAAGAAAACTTCAATATTGATTATTATACAGAATACCAGGTCTTCTTTTGATTTTTTGCACATCTATTTTTTTAGTTATTTATTTGTTTGTGGTATTTGCAAGGCAAAATTAATTTAAAAGTAAAAACCAAACATTTTTAACACTAGGTCATCATTTTATTAATTTGTTTATTTATTTATTTTTGTGTCAAAAATGTTTGGTTTTTATAAGTATATTTTTGTCTTGTAAATAGCTCATATTTAACCTAAGAAAACTTTCTAGACATTTATTTGTTTGTCACTTGTCTGAATTCAGTTACCTACGTGACAGAGCCAAAATCAGAAGTAGAAGAGGTGTTTTCAGACAGTGGTAGTGATGGGTCAGATGAAGTCATCAACCTGTCTTCCTTGTCAGAATCAGAGACTGATGATGACACTGTTCAAATAAGGGAAAGCTTACTAGATGATTCAAAAGATGATGAAACACAACAAAATTACGACTTAAAGGTTAATATTTGGTTTCTGGTGAAACTAATTCTTTTGTTTGTTTGTTTTCTTGTGAATTTTTTGCATGCATTAGCTACTTAAATGAGGATCCTGCTGTACAATTGCTTGAGTTCAAGTGATCTTTGTTTTTCTTATTCTCTCTTAGGAACGAAACAAACTATCCCCTGTGCATGCTGAGTTACTCATAAAAGATGATACACTAGAACAAACAGAGGAGGAGGGTCTTCAAATAACAGATGAGGGGTCTAAACTGAAAGATGTGCCTCAATCAACTGCTGTAGAGGATCAACATACCAAGGAAGGTACTGTCCATACAAAAGACAAGGAAGACCCTCAACCATTAGATGAAGGGGTTCTTCACCTGTCGGATGAGGGAAGTTGCAATGCCAAAGACTACTGTCTAAACCCAAGAGATGGCTGCAAACCTTCAAACCAGGGATGTGAAGTTACCACTGGAGGTCTCAAAACACTAGATGAGGGGTTGCAATCAACAAGTAAAGGCCAAGTAAAGGAGAATGAGAGGTATAAATGATCATACAATATTAGCAAAGAGCACTGAGAATAAACAATTCTACTGGACAGTGGAAAAAAAAAAGAAAAGGAGTAAACCTACCTAAGATGGGATAGAGATAGTGGCTGGAACCTTTTAATGAATGCGCATGGAGATGTGTGGATGTGAATTACAAGCTGAATGTTAACCATTAATATGATTAGAGACCAAATTGGACTCCACTTCATCCTAATACCAATTAATCATAACCGTTAAAATTTCCAAAAACACAAGTACATTTAGGACAAACATCTGCAGTAGAGACAATGTCTAAAGAAAAAAATCCCTCAATTTTGGAAATTCCCCAGGTTTTTTTTTTCAGGATATGTGATTCTTGCTATGATCATTGTGATCAATACAGTGATTAGTGGATTTAGCTGAGTGGACTTAGTATGATTGGCTGCTTCAACTGTCCAATTACAGGCGTCCAATTACAGCCAAATGTCCAATTATGACTGTACAGAATGATAAGTGAAGAATAAAGCAGCTAATGCACTAATCACATTTGAGGAAATTGTAATGGTTATGATTAGGAATGGAGAAAGTCCACATGGATGGCAGAATAAAAAATCAAGTCACCATGGAGCTTATGTGAAAACAGCCAGCAAACTTGTGCTAATAACATTCTTTAGAACAGCGTCAACAACATACTGCATTTTTTTGTTCATAGTGGTATGGAAGTACGTAAGCGAAGGGAAGAACGCAGGAAAAAGACATCTGATATGATTGATAAAATAAAGAAGAATGTCAAACAAAGTGAAGATACAAAAGTATGGAACTTCAGATTGATGGTATCAGGGGGAATCCTATTAGGATGTACAGTGGCATACTTGGCTTACAGATACTTCACTCATGGCTAGTTTTTCCTCTTCTTCATTGAAGTGATGTGTAATTGTTTTTTGAGTGCTTTTCATGGTTATTTCTCCTGTAACTTGCATGATAATTTTTTTAATAATGTCCTTTTTGAACCTGATTCCAACTCATTTTTACAGATTTTAAGATACTTTTTAAGACATCTCTATATGACAGGGCTAAATGATGACAGTGTGTACTGAAAGATACAGCATGTAGAGCTTTGATTTCATATGTGGTTGGAAAGTTGCAGTAACAATGTGGAAACCCTTATTATTTTCAACCCCAAAGTATTCTTTACTCGGATATGAGTTCTGCTTTGATTTTAATGGTTATATTTTGTTTTTATAATGACATACACTGAATTGATATTCATGAGTTTGAAAATAAGAGAAAGTCACATTTCAGTGAATGAACATGAACTACAAGATACACATATGCCAAAAAGGAACATTTTCCAAAAGATTTGTAATTTTCCAAATTTCCCTCAACAACATTAATTTGTATTTGTTTTACAAGAGTCAGTAAACAACTTTTTATTGTCCAAAATGTTCATTTTTTTTTCCAATACACTTATTGTATGTGTAAACTCATTAGCTTAATACGATACTTTGAGGTGAATTTTAATTCTTAATTGATGTTTCACCAACTAATTAAACTAGCATTTTTTTAAAGTTATTTTGAAAAAAAATCAGTTTCAGATGTGCTCATCTTCTGTTTCATTTACATTGAATGTTTAAATTGTAAAAAGACTATTTGTTGGTTGATGAAAAGAATAATTACATTTTATGTGTAATCTGCTACTTAATGTAGCTGTAAGAGTAACTTTTTAAATATAGTTATAATGTTTGAGGTAAGGGTGAAGAGAGACAGTGTTGGTTGAAGTGCATTTTGTTGTTGGTGAACTGCTATTGATTTTTTTTTCATGCTATGGAGACACTATGGAATGATGCAAAAAAAATTGAATCTTTTGCTGATTGTTAGTTCTGAGGCTATATTGCTGACGAGAACAGTGACATTATTTTTTCTTAATGTAGCTAAGCTGTAATAATTTAGACTTGACCAAAAGTATTCTTAATTTCCCAGAAGCATACTGTTGTCTGTTAATATTGTTATAAATATTATTACAGTAATTTGTGCAAAATCAATTCAGTTGTGAATCCTTAATTTTATCCTTAGGGTGATGTAGTTCATTTTATACAGTATTTTGCACAAATTTCACATTAAATGATTGTGACGGCCTTGTGTTCTTCATTATGTCTTTTTACTTATTTAATGTTAAGTGAAAGAAGTGTTAAGGTTGCTGGTGTAATGGTGAACCATTCTTTTAGGAAGCCTTAAGGGAACTTTGTTGTCTAGCCCTAGGTTGGCAGGACATGACCAAATTTATGAATCATTTGCAAATTAAAAGTTTGGACTTCTTCATGCAGTAATTTTCTATTAATCGCTTCCCACTTTATAATTACAATAGGCAACAAGAATTGAGAAAATGCTCTCACAGGTATTCTCTCATGGTTTAATGGTAAAGTTGTATAATTGAAAACATTGCTCTGGTAAACAAACTTGACCTGAATCAAAGGGAATTGAATGAAGGGAAAACAGGAGCCTTCATTGGGGTCCACACCACATTAATATACTGTACCAATAATCATGAATAAAAAATCTTGACTAGGAGGATTCAAGGAAAAGGAACAGGCATGTTCTAGAAACCATACAATTTTTATCCTATCATTTAAGAGTTTATCTAACAGTGTACTCTGTTGTGTATTTTGTGATATTGTAGAGTACTGAATCAAGCCATTCAAAATTGTCTTCAGTAGTGCTAAAAATAGATGTGAGAATGTAACTTAATAACCAGGCCACAAACTCATTAATTGGTAGGTCAAAAAAGTATCTCTAGTTATCACAAAAAATTACTACTCAAGGAACAAATGCCTTTTTGTATTGCTTTCAACTGTGCTAACAGATCACTTAGAAATCTAACAAGCAAGACTCTTATGTCATAGATGAACAGCTAATGAAAGGGTCTCAAGTTGAATTTTATGTTCACTTTTCTACAAGTTTCAAATGGTTCGGTTACTGTGGATCCTAAAACGTAACAGTCCTTTTTTAATATACTTTTAACCCTCAACACCCTCACATCATCATCAATATTCTTGGGACTATTCTCTATGCATTTAAAAGATCAGATAGTTTTAAGAGCATACTTTTCCTTTAATGGTGTTTGTTACAACATCAAGAGACTTGGTCAACTTTTAATTCTAAACCAAATGTAGTTTATTTGATAAGTTAAAAAAATTACACTTCTATAACCTAGCTAGTTGTGATTGTCTATAAAGGATGTACAAATAGAAGTTTAGCTGAAATTATTTCATAGCCCAATCCAAAGACTGTTCACAAACTACAGCATTTTACATTTGAAACATCTCTTTCCCTCTCCCAGACTTGACAAAGAAGTGAGAATTGAGAATTTAGCCCTTTGGGCAAAATCTTGATTTGATTTCATTTAGGCCTCGGTTATGAAAACACTATAGTAAACACACTAACTATCTACTGAATGAGTGCCAGCAAAACAAATTATACTGCTTGGAGCAAAATCAGTTATCCCACAAAAGAGCACCATCCACTATTTTTCCAATGGAGATAGGTGTAAACTTGATATCTCACTTTGTCACAACTTTGATCCACAAATTAACATGTCTGGGGATGAAACTCACTTAAACCAGTTCAGCCTTGATTTTAACTCTTTGAATAAGCATGTTCATTTGACACAATATGTGCTTTCTGTGTCAGAAGGAAAACAACATTGAGATACTTTTGTCCCGAAATAGCATTGCCACATTCCTTAACCAGCAAGGGTTGCAAGATTTATGACTCCTATTTGTAACAATTACTCCTCTAGTAACCTACTAGCAAATGAGCCATTGACAAAAAAAAAATGGCCAAATCAAGACCAACCTAAATAACATTCCATTACTGAGACAAAAAAAATACAACTTGTTAATACATGTAGTAATGCCGCAAAACATTTTTAACACCTTCCTATGTAATAAAATGTCAGCAACATATTTATTTGATAGGTTACCTTATCACTCTAAATGTGACCTATTGGATCTCATTAAGTTAGTGACTTAACTTGGGGAACTGAACCTCATTACTTAGACATATAATGAGATATGTATGTTACTCAACAAATTGAAGGCAAATAGGAAAAAATAAAAAATTGAAATCAGTGAAAAAGATCATTTTTCTACTGGGAGTTATCATTATTCAAATGATCATTTAACAATGCATGTTTGACTATACTACCTAACTACCCTACAGAAAATGTTTACACTGGCATTTAGCTATTCAAATTTTGTCTTTCAATTTGTTCAAATAATAAATAAGTACTTGTTATTGTTAGTCTTCACAAGCTAACTTTAAAAATAAAGGTAGCCTCTCTTTATTAGATCATCATTCTAACTACTAAAAAACTCACTATTTGTCCAATTTTTTTACCTGCACTAATTGGTACTGATACTTATAGTTAAATTACTAGTAGCTCAGTAAATCAATTTCCTTTACCGCATACAACCAATCAATTGATGTACGAGTGGTATAAATAAAACAAATGTAGCCAACAGTATGTAATTACGTGGAACTATTGATTACTGCTTAAGCCTTTCTTCAAGAGCATTTAGCTCATCTCTAACAGCATTTGGTAAGTCATCCCCTAGCTGCTCTTCATAGTATTGTCGCAGGGAGCGGCACTCTTCCAACCAATAGTTCTTGGGAATACTGAACAGCTCCTTCATGTTCAGTTCTCCAAGACCTTCAGCATTAATTGAATCATTCTTGGGTATGAAGCCAATTGGGCTAGGCTTGGCAATGTCCTCTCCATCACAACGTCGCAGCACCCACTCTAGCACACGACTGTTCTCTCCAAATCCTTGGAAAAAGTTGACAAACAGGTTGAGTAATTAGCTTAAAAGCACAGAATAAAAAAAAACACAAAATATTCCAAAAGCAGCTTAATAATAATTATACAGCATTTTGTAGGTAGCATTCCAATGGCCTGCAAATTACATTGAAAGGATCAATTTTTAACTAATAAAAACTATAAGTACCCCTCATAAAGAAAGACAGTCTTATCAAATAAATAACTGTTTTCTGAACAAAAAGTCCAAAATTTAGCAATTTGATTTGCAGTGCATCCTTGAACAAGAAAAAAATTGTGTTGAAATGTTTTTGTTATTAGTAACTCCTTCAAGTCTTACCTGGCCACAAAAACTTGTTATTTTCATCAAGACGGAACCAGTTTACATGAAAAATTCTTGGTAACTTGTGATTTGGATTGTTTCCCATACTTAACCAGTGCTCCATGTACTTGCCAAAATTGTACCCAAAGAAAGGCCTCATAGCAAAAGGATCTCTCATGATATTTTTTCCCTGATGTTCAGCAGCAGCGGTGGCTTCAGAGGACATGGATGAAGCAATGAAAACCCCATGCTGCCAATTAAAGGCTTCATACACCAGAGGAACTCCTCTTGGGCGTCGGCCACCAAACAGTATAGCACTGATGGGAACACCCTTGGGATTTTCCCAGTCTTTGTCCATGATTGGGCAATTGCTTATTGGTGCACAGAATCTGGAATTAGGATGTGCTGCCTTAGTTTTTCCAGGCTTCCAATTTTTCTCTCCAAGCCAAGTAGTTACATCTGCATCTGGTAGCGGCAAACCTTCAAAACAAAGACACCAGATTAAGAATGCTGCCATTCATGATGATTCAGATGAACTTGATTTTCATCTGACAATTTAGCCTCCAGGGATACTATAAGATGATCAATACTAAAAATTAGATCAGACTGGAAAAGCTTTTGTACTTAATTAACCATTTGCCTGAAAATATAAGTTAAAAATCTCTTCAAATGATGAGTGCTCCATATTAGATCTGAAAATCACTGTAAGATACTTAACACAATAATGAGATTATTCTGTAAATTAAACCTTAATCTCACTAATTCTATGTTTTCATTTTCAAATACATATCATGGCTTATACCTTCCCAATAAAAGTCACCATCGCCTGTTTGTGCAACATTCGTGAACAATGTTCCCTTTTTGCATGTATCCATAGCAACTGGGTTGGTCTTGTTCGATGTTCCTGGTGCAACTCCAAAGAAGCCAAATTCAGGATTAATAGCTCTCAGTTGACCTTCCTCATCAAACCACATCCAGGCAATGTCATCCCCAATGCATTCAACCTTCCAACCTGGCAATGTTGGTGTCATCATGGCCAAATTGGTCTTTCCACAGGCACTTGGGAAGGCTGCAGCAATGTATTTCTTTTCACCCTGGGGGTTTGTGAGAGCAACAACCTGGATAGAGAAACAGCACAATAGCTTTTAGTTGCTTTAATTTTTTTCATTTTCATCAATATGTTATGCCTCTTAACCAAAATGTATAACTTTCATTCTGAAAAAAGCCAGAATTTTGGGAAAAGTGAAGGAATGAAGAAGGGTAAGCTGGTGTGAGCTGCGGCAAGATAGATGCTTTGGATCTTTAGGTATGATTCTTGTGCCCCAAGCATTAAGGTTATTGACCAATCAGGCATATTAATTTTTTCAAAAATCAGATAAAAAATCATCACTTAGTTCCCATAATGGTTTTACTTCTTAACTTGACACACCCTGGTTTCTGTAGGTGTTCAAAATGTTTAGTACTATTATTTCTCAGTTTACAAGGTTATACATCATACCAGCATGTGTTCTGCCAACCATCCTTCGTCACGACCAATTGTGCTGGCAATCCGTAGAGCAAAGCATTTCTTTCCCAACAGAGAATTTCCTCCATAACCGCTTCCAAATGATTTGATTTCACGATCATGAGGAAAGTGAGAGATAATGGTTCTATCTGGATTACAAGGCCACTTGAACTGGGATGGTGGTTCAGGTTTAGGCAAACCAACTGAGTGTAGACACTTCACAAAGCCGTTGTTTCCCAGAACTTTCATAACCTCTGCACCCATCCTAGTCATGATGCGCATGGAACAGACCACATAAGGAGAGTCTGTGACTTGGATACCAATCTTAGACACAGGAGACCCAACTGGACCCATACTGAATGCCATGACATACATGGTACGGCCTGGAAAAAACATATGTCCATCTCTGAAGTGAAGCTTGTATGCAATTCTTTCATTTCCAAAAAGTGAATATCAGTTAATTACCACCATATGGGAGGCAAATCAACATCTGGAAAATGTGGTTAACCCTTTAACTCCGTGAATGACTACCACAGAATTTCTCCTTACAATATCAGTACAATATCGAGCAGATAAGTGATAAAAATAAAAAAAAATATATAAATTTAGGGATAACTATTAACATCATAACAGTTGTATGGTTGACAGGAAAATAACAAATTTGATCTGGGAGTTAAAGGGTTGAATCTCAATCCCTGCATCAAGGAGTTTTTTTGGGCTTCTCAAAGAGAAATTTGTATCAAGAAAATGCTCTAAGTTTCTCAAAGAGAAATTTGAATTTGAAGATGTTGGACTCCATCCTTTCTTGTTGAGGAGTTCAGTTTGTATGTTAAGCTGAATTGTACTCAGAAATTGTGGCTAAAATATCAGTAACCAATCTGTGATCTATTACTGAACAGCAGAAACACAGTTGTTATTCTAACCTGAGCATTTCAAAGGTCATTCACACACTTAAAAACTTAAGAGTGCATAACTTGAAAAACCTGACATTACTATTCATCAATCATCTTGTTCAAAGTTCAACAGCTATTGTCTACTGCCAATGGTTCTTCAATGTCAACTTCTCATTAAATAACAAACAATTTTCTCTCAGGCTTGTGATAACACACCCATTTCTGTATTTTGATAGAAAAATGTTAAGTAAGGGAATGAACAGGTTTGCTGATTGGCATATTTGGGCTTAAAAAAATGTTTAGGTCACAGATTTTTGCAACAAACTGTGAATTTGAAAACTACGATTGATTGCAGATCTGCTTAAAAGTTTGACCTGGTTTATTGATTGCTATTATTTTCAAAATATAGTGGTTATTTGTTAGCTTTATTTTTTCAAAAAATTAATTTTGTTAACTAGCTTCTCAAACAACATCAAGAATTAAGTCTTCTGTCTGGTAAAATCTTGATACATTGAAACAAAAGCACAATATACAAACATGATATTACAAGCAGCAAATTCATACCACAAAGATTTCTAATAAGAAGTAAGGCTGATCTGGATAAGAATGAAAATAGTTTGGGATTAACAGAATTGGTCAAATGTAACATGGGTAAGTGGGTTTGCATAGCCACATTCAACCCTCCCTTGACCAAAGAAAAAGTCTGCAAGATTTATCAGTCCTGAGTACTTTTGTCCAAACTGTGCACATTAAAACTACAAACAAATTAACAAATAAGAAATTCAGACAGAAGAGATCTCCATAACAGATGGAATGCACAACAGGAATGTAACAGGTTCAAAGGTTCTTCCAGTATAATGAAATCTCTGATAACAACCCCTTGGGATTAGCAATCATGTATATTCAGACTAAAAAAACATTTTATTGAAAATTACATTGGAGTTGAGGCTGAAAACAGATAAATGTGAAACAGATAAATGTAAATTTTACATAAAACTGCCTCCAACATGGAATATTCAAATTACTTTCCTCTTTAGTGAAGCATGAAGTTTCCAATCTTCACTAAAATTCTATTAATTTAAACTTGGCACAAGCAATGTGATAAGGACCTGTTTAGCACCAGTATTCACATTTTATAATGACTGAGCTGTTAGAAGATATAGATGTTTCTAGCCCAACTTAGCTGTTTCACCGAAATAGACTTAAATAAAGCTGACTATCATTAATCACCTAGGGGAAGAAAACATCCTTGCTAGCTTCACCTTTTTGCTTTGGATTGTTTTTAAAGCAATAAGTATTTTGATTTTCATGGTTGCAAAAAACACTATTTTCAGGTCAGGGATTTTTATAAAAATAAAGGGGAAAACAAAAATGTGAAAGTTAACCAAAGCAACCAAGACTTGTTTTTAAAACAAAACAAATTCACTCTCATTGAATTTCAAAAAGACCAAGATGACCTTTGAAACTTAGTTGAAATGGACAATATCCTATTTACGTGGCATACCCCTTACCACACCTCCCGCAACAACCAATCACAACGCACGATAGACAATATCGTAAGAGACCAGGATGACAGGACAATTTTAACGAAATCTTGCAGTAAAAAGGTAGGGAAGCTTCATTTTGATGCCAAAAGACACGTTATAAGCAAAAGGATTTTTTTTTCTCAACAAACTTTGGTCTAAACAAATCCTAGTTTCCGCACGAGGTTGGCAATCGTGCTTGATTCTTCTTTAAGATATGTCCTCACCTTTCATACAACCAGGAAATCTTTTACTCAACTCCTTGTTCATATCCTTTACGCTCATCCATTTACCCAGCCGGCCTTCAACTCCATCCTTTGCTGTTGGGATGGATTCTCCTTTGTCCTCTGTACAGATGTACGTTTTAGATTCCACTCGTGCCACATCGCGTGGATCAGTGCGGGCTAAGAAACTGTGAAACACAAAAACTACAGTCAGTGGACTATAAACTGAAATTTACTACTGTCAAGTTCCCTCTTCTTGATTCCCTAGTATGAATCATTGCTTTCAAAAAATCCAAGTTTTAGGTATATTCGATTGTCAAATCAACAGCAAATTTGGCTTAAACTACTTGAACATACCAGTTGTCATATTTATGAAGTTTAGTCAACACACCACTTTCGATCAATTCGTTTATTAATGATTCGTTCTCTTCCTTGGACCCATCGCAAATGTAAATGTTGTCCGGTTGGCAGAGTTCAGCTTTGTCAGCCACGTATTCCTGTACTTTAGTGGGTAGAGAGTCAAACTGTCCTCGAATCACCGAACAACCGGCTGGAAGCTGTGAAACCATCCTTCGAAGGGCGATGCGATAACGTAATGTAAAACGAACTGACGGCAGAACAGCTATCGACGAAATTCTGCCAAAAACAAATAAGTAGAATGGTGACGAAAATCAGTTTCAGAGATAAATTTCAGGAACAGCAAAAGAACGACGTGACATTGCCAGTTACTGAAGCTCAACAAAATATTTTCAAAACATGAGTTTAACAAGAGGTGTTGCCTACCGTGAGATAGCTGATGTAAATGACATCTTCGACTTTGATCAGAAATAAATACATACAGGTTACGCTACAATTATTCTAACGTGCTTGCCGGTAATTTTCCAAGGGAACGCTTGTCCACTGAAAAGCTTTCTGTAGAAACTAGTCCAAAGGTCATTGGGAGGACTGGAGGTGGCTCGATTAGAACATGCATTTTGATTGGTTTACATCTGTGCTCAACAGCCATCGTGTAACACGTACTTGTACGTCACGCTAGTTGTCAGAGGGTCATGTAAATCGAACGTCTTTACGTGAAGACCGGACAATGAGTTAAAAGAGAAAGAAATCGAGCAATGAATTTAATCCGTGATTAAACAAATGAATACTTCGCTTTCTGCACCGGACATGATAGCAAATGAAACTTGTAAACGTTCGATGAGTCTGTTAGGAATCATTTGTCGCGACCGACAAGAAATCCCAGCGGATTATATTTTAAGATAATAGGCCCCTAACGAAAGTAAATTTACTTGTGTATCCAAATCTTGAAAGTGACATTACTCAACCCCTCGCCCTTGTCCCGCCCACATTTCCTGCACGTCATCTGATGTCATTTGTCGTACAAGTCACGGGACTGTGAAACACGTCATGTCAACACGGAATCTTTTGCTCACCACATCAATTTCGATAGAGGAAAAAACATCCTGCATCTTTTTTCTTAGGTAAACCTTGTGTTTCGCCTTAATGGTACCTTATTGCGTGTGGTCTTACGACACGTTTCACATTGTACGTTCCTTTAAATTTTTTTTGTCTACCAGTCTTGATAACTCACCCTTTAGAGGGTTCACTAGGGGGTTGATCATCCATCATCGTCTTGCTTAATATCGTTAATGATTACAAGACACTCCGCGGTATCGTTTCTTTTCCTTTTTTTTTATACTCTCTCGGTGGAAGTTGGTTGATGTTTATGGTTCATACAGTCATTACTATAATATTTTTTGTTCCTCGGAGCGAGTTACTCCGGGAATCGTTTTGGAAAGGACAAACATCTTGCAGTAAATAATCTATCTACTTTTTTACTTTTTCATTTAGAGCTGGAGACCAATATCAGTTCTATAGCTAATCCAAGCAAAGCTCTTAAACGATGGTTACATTTGAGCTTTGTATTAGTCTTTATTTTTACCGCGTCACGTGCTGTGACGCATGTCAAGTTACGCGAGGAACCGTTGAGAATTTGAATGCGTTATAAGAAATAATATAGTCGGTTTACAACGCTAAATATTCTGAAATATGAACATTTTACGGGTAAGATTAATAAAACTTACACACTACTTGTGTATCCGGTGTGGTTTCTGGTGTTCTCTTCCGTTTTGGGCCTGCTTTGCCATCATTGTTATTCCTGTTATATGACGGAGTCAAGGTTGCACACTACGATTTCAACTGTTGTCCATTCCGTCTTGTAGAATACGCAACGCGTGACGCTTTCTTGAATTAATCTTTTGCTTTTTCTCGAGACGTGTGAGACGCCTGTAGCAAAACAAAGAAACAAAAAACAGTTAAAAGATAACCAACCTCAGAGACCGCGCCTTAAAAACAATTAAGAAATTAGGATCCAATAATAAATCGACAAACAATTGATGAATAAATAAATTCATAGAGTCCTTACTTTATGGGACGTCATAAAACCTAAATACATGCACTGGCTCAATCGTTTCCAAGGAACGGTTCCCTGAGATTCAAACCTGGAGAGGAGTAAGACAAGTGCCCTGGTGACGAGTTTTATTCAGTTGGCGCCCTGTGAAGTCAGTGACCACGTAAAATTCCTTGATCTATTTATGGATCATCCTTTGCCATTATTTCGCCAAGCATACGGCTTCACAACCAAGACTAGAAACATTTTTGCTTCCTCTCCCTTTGTTCCGGAAATGATGAAAGGAAACAACTTTCCTAACTTTAAGGTTTCGTGGATCACGGAAGTATGAGACAACGGGACGACCAGGGCAGCGACGAATGGCGAACCTTTTCCGCCATTTGAAAATATTTTCTTTATCATCAATCCCCTCCTGTTTTGGAAAAACATTAAACAGCAGAACATGGGCTTATGTTCTTTTACACTCGTAAATTCGCGGTAAAAGTACTAGGGTCGCAGGTTTATTGAATGATCACCCTAAGAGACCATTACTTATGGCAGCAATAAGGAACCATGGATGTATTTTCCTTTCACGTTAGCTGTCATATGCAAATAGCCAGAGTCATTAAATAATCATCTGACGCCAGCAGATACTGAAGTTTTGAAGGAAAAACATATGGGATTTAAGATACCGTAAAATTCCGGTTATAAGCCCTGGGCTTATACAACTTCGTAAGATGAAACTCTTCATTATCTTCAAGGACTTCATCAGCTTCGTTGGCATCAAAGATAGCCCGTTGCTTGGGTTTAACGTTGCTTGTATCTTGGCGGCATCGCCGAGTTCTGTTCAGTAAAGGCGACATAAATGAGGGTTGTACGATTGCTCTGATCGTTTGCGATTACCTCAACTCTACCATGTTGAAAGACTCCAACTAAGTAAGGAGTAAGTTGTTCCAAGGTCGATTCCGACCACAGGAGCTGTCTTCACAGGCATCTTTAGTAGACTCTGATGGTTTCTTCTCGTCTTCTTCTTGTCTTGCTGAACAGACTTCTTTCTCGTCAAAATACGGCACAACTCATAAAAATACTTAGCGATACTACACACCAAAACGTCTAATAAGTTATTTATTATTCAACTGATTTATTTTATGCACAAAATAAACAACTGTCCGAATAACCGTAGAATATCGCAGGATATATCTTATTGGACGTTTTGGTGTATACCCCCGCTTGCTATTTTTACGTGTTGTACCGTGTTTTGACTCGAGTAAAAATACTCCGCGATACTACGCACCAAAACGTTTATTAAGTTATTTATTATCCAACTGGTTTATTCCTTATGCACTTCCTATGAGGCGGGAAAAGCGAAGCAAACAGAGAAGCAGTTGGTGACAGGTCTTGAGGAGCTGAAGGCTGTGAACCAAGAACAATGGTACAGGGAAAGATTTTTTTCGTCTTGTCACGAGCGTGGGACAAAAGGAATCGAACCTCAGACCTTCGGATTCCGCGCTCCGATGCTCTACCACTTAGCCATAGAGACTCCACGGTGAGCGAGGTCCTGATTACGAATTTCATATGACACGCGTCCTGCATAATGCTGGGATCAGCAATGTCGATAGCGTAATGCTTATTTAGCGTAATGTTTTTAGATAGAAATAAGAGAGATTGTAAGTTTGTTCACAATTGTGCAGTTGTTAAATAAGGTAAGAGTAAAATAACCAACTCTGGTTCAAATAACCGTACAATATCGCAAGATGTTTGTACTCTATTCGCGCGTTATTTGTACTCTACTTTGTGCAGTTGGATAATATGTATTTCTTAGCGCAAGTGGCTAAAAATTTCACTCTAGTTTGAAGATGTCTAATGTTTGCTTTCGCCTCGAATCATGACCTTGTCGTCTTATATCAGAAATAGCGATTGTTCCCAATTCTTCCCAATCCCAAATCTTACATATGTTAATAAGCGATAAATTTTCTATAATTCATGGAAAATTCAGCTGGAGATATATGAGGATAACAGAGAAGTATATCTTTAAACTTCGTAACTTTTGTTGAGACGCACTCTTGGATCACCTCGCCAGTACATGCAAACAACTTTTTTTTAGGTCTCAAAAACTAAATATCTCTAATAACTACAGACTAATTACGGCTGAGGAAAAAACGTATCTACCTTTAGACGGAGAGTCATAAGAAAGACAGTGATGGTAAAACTAAATCATTAAGATACGTGATGGCAAGATTTTTAACTTTAGCATAATATGTTTAATACTAACACGAGCTGCACAATCTGCAAATGCAAGTCTTCACTAAATGAAGATCAACACATGTTTTCGGCTCTGCTCGTTGTTCATGAACTATAGTAGTTGCAATTTTCAAAGATATTTTCAATTATCAAAGCGGCCAAAGAATCGGGGAAACAATTTCAAGGCGGTGCTTATCCCCTCCAACAGAAAAAAGCCCACACACTACCTAACATAACAGAAACTCTGACCCATAGAAAACAACACGTGGGGAGAGACGAAACAATGGAGGGAAGTTGGGTTGACAACTTGACACGCAGCCTAAAAGCCGTTAGTGATTTAGTTAATATGACTGATAATCCTTCAAAAAACTGAGTAACTAAGGAAGTTAAAACGTGAGATATTTGTTTACAATTAAATTAATCGGTGTAACTTTCATTCATTCAGGATATGTTCACACGGTACCGCACGAATTTTCGACCGGCCAAAAAATTTCGACCAGACATATTCTGCGTTCACGTCGTTTTCGACCACTACTTTGAAATGTCCATCAAAGCCGGTGAGCGATCAAGGAGTGCACGTCAAGTGTACTGGAAGTACACATTGGTGGACCTTCGACGCTAGTACCCAGGAAATGGGCCAAGTACATTAACAACCCTAAGAATAAGGAGAACCTGTGCGACTTCATATCAAAGTCTTTGTACAGTCTTGGCAAAGGAAGGCTCCTGGGGAACACCAAACTGATCATCGGAGGAGGATTCAAGGATGGAAAGCGATGTGTGGCTATCACGAGAGATTCTCAAGGTAATGTTGCAGATCTTACATGCAGTCATGAAGAAGTAAATACCTGGATGTTGTTTCATGCTAAGTACACAGTGAGCCCAGAAACAAGAATCATCATCCAATTACCTGAAACAGACGTTCTTGTTTTGAGTGCAGCCCACTTTGCGAGCATTACCCCGAACATACTATGGTTCCGCACCTGTGTAAAAGATCAAATGTGCTTTGTACCAGTTCATGATGTTTGCTAGAAGCTTGGAGACAGGGTCCTTGCTGCTTTACTAGCTCTCACGGAATGTGACAACAACAATTCAATCTCAGGGATTGGTAAGACAAAAGCATGGAAAGCAATGACTCGAAGCCAAGGGCATCAGGGAGGTCTCCTGGGACAAGAAAAAGAAGCAGACGAAGAGACACTTAGAAAGTGCAAAGCATTTCTTTGTGACATCTATCCAACCTCAAAGAAGAGACCGCAGACTGCTGATGAGCTTAGACATATCACGTTCTGTCAAAAGAAACAGAAGAATGAGACCCTTCCT